ATCCGCACAAGAACAAGAACCTTCAGGTTTGTTCAAAGACTTGAACAATAGCGAGTAACAATGAAACAACTTGTGTAAGAAAGGTGTCAAGTTCAGGGTCCTCTCACAGCATGGGGATGGGGTGCAAAATACACTTATGGAAAGTAAGTAAAAGAGAGAAATGGTCTAACTGAGGAAAAGGTCAATGGCATGAATGTGTCTCAGTGGTCAATGGTACGACTGTAAGTTCTTCCGATGCACTCTATGTCTCACATAAGAAAATGTAACCTCATGTGTTAGCACCATTGTGTTGTGTGTGTGTGTGTGTGTGTGTGTGCATGTGTATGTGTGTGTTTGTGTTGTGGTGTGTGTGTGTGTGTGTGTGTGTGTGTGGAGCGTACCATGTTCTCTCTGAGGCTAACTTTCTCAGCATGGCCACACAAACACTCACTTCATCCCAGCACGCCAAAATATTCTCTGCATTTCCTTCCCTGCAACGTCTACATATATTAAAACATTTACTCTGAGCGATGAGGCAACTACTTTGCTTGTCTAGTAGGTCATTGACAGACTATAATATACACAAATAACCCGTATAGAGAAGAGAGGAGCTTACGACGACGTTTCGGTCCGACTTGGACCATTTACAAAGTCACACTAACAAAAAGGAGAGAAGGAGGGAGTATATATAGGCCAGCAGACATTGAATTCTACCTCTCTTGTTCCCGGGTTATTTGTGTATTGTTCCAGTCACGGTATTGTGCCTTTTTTGTTATTTACAGATTATAAGATCACAGAGAACTCACCTAGACACCACCGTCTTAGATTTCTAACAGAGGGTCATCAACAGGCTAGAAAAATCGTAATGAGTTTAACCTTGGCAGCCTTACTTGCGTCTAACGGAATTAATACTAATAATACTAATGCTAATAATAATAATAACAATAATAATAATTACGAAAACGGACATGGCAGGTTGTCGAATGATAAGAATATTATAGGCTTGTAAACATTCGTTATTTCTTAAAAAAGTCAGATTAATATAAACATTATTAAAAATGTCACAGTGGTATCTTAGGGGTTAAAAATAAAAGTTATGAATATTCTATTAGTTGAAATGTGAAGATTTTGTGCTAAAAAAAAATAATCAGACGAGGTCATTATGTGACATCAAAAGTAACACAAATGATGACACAAATGACAAATACTGACACATACGACGTAATTAAGAAGGATTTTAGCGAAAAATATCTCTGAAATTATATTATCAAAAGAAAACTGAGAAATATTGAAAATTCTCAGTTTTGTAGTTCTTTAATTTTCAAAAAAGATTACTGAATACTTCAGTTTTGTGTGACTTTAAAGACTGAAATGTGCTTATAACAGACTAAACCTGTGTAACAGTTATGCTTCAGACTAAGTGTATCTTTGTGTGTGAGTTTGTAGTTCTGGTAACCTCAATAACTTCCTCACACCTGCAACAGCTTTTGATCAGCTTAGTAAGCTTGAGGAGGACCTCATTCGTCCCTCTGCTGTGTGACTCTCCACCTGGAGTTCTGTGCTAAGTCTAGATCTCTCCCCGAGAGACGAGACTCTTGGTATACTAAAGCACCGCAACTTAAACAGAAAAAAGGAGTGTAATTTCAGTAAACAGAGCGGCAGTAACTGTAGTGGTCCAGTGCAAAGAAAAGGAACGCGAGTACTAGTAGAATGTCGACGTAGAAATGAAAGTCATTCTGTGCTTGCTGATGAAGATGGGAGTTTGGCTTTCCATGCTGACCACTGCGCCCAATATTGGAATGTGGGACCTCTCTACTTGCAAGTCTGATTCTAAAATATTCAGGTTGCTGGACTAGGGCTTGGCTTCTGGCTCGAGCGAGTATGCTCAGACCAAACACTGACTGGAAACTATGTCAACTCTGAGTACATTGTACCTATTTTTGTGAGTGAAGGGTTTCTATTTGGAGACGGAAAGGAGGTGTACTTGTTAGGGTTTGCGGTGGAAGGTTGTGACGGATGGACCACTGCAAGAGGATGGATTACCCTAGAAGGTTCCTCTTGTGAAAGGGTGCAGGGGTTGAGTGCTTGAAGTCGAGGTTTGGGCGGTGTTTTGACTCTTGTGTGTTGATGCTTGTGTGGGGTTAAAGGGAGGAATGCTAATATTTAGATCTCAGGGCGGGCTGAGTGTTGTACCGGGGGCAGGCACACAGTGTGCCTGGCAGGAGAAAGCAAGCAGAGAGGCTGAGAGGTGTGGTACTGGTGATTTATGTTTGAACAATGTATTGAGTTGTGGATGAAGTGGAATCACTAGTGGGTGCATCAGGTGGTAGGAGGTGAAGGAATCGAAGGGGGTTGAGCAGGTGGGATGGGAAGAGGATGGAGGTGAGAAAGATTGGAGTTGGAGGTGAGAACAGGTAACAGTGAGAGGAGGTGGGCAGGCATGGTAGCTGGTCATGGATGTTTCGCGTCCCTACGTAGTAGTAAGGTGGGGTTGAGAATGTATGTATTGAGCAACTTGAGCTGGTGGTTGTGTATAGTGGAGAGGTGTAGATGAATGGTTCAGAGAACAGACAGTACTGGCAGGGGCAGTGTACTGGAAGGGTGGCGTGTGGGTGAAGTTGGAGTAAAAGATTTCCAGGATTAGAAAAGATAGAGACATGGGATGTGAAGAAGGCAAACAGAAGAAAGGGAAGAGATGCAGTTTTTCCAAGGATGTCTTGCCTGGATTTAGAGTTCGCTTGAAGCGGAATGAGTTATTTCGACAGAACTGGAAGACACAATACCGTGACTGGAACAATACATAAATAACCCTCACACAAAAGAGAGGCTTATGACTTCGCTGCGTTCCGACTTGGACCATTAACTAGACAATGTGATTAATTAATGGTCCAAGTCGTGCCGAAACGTCGTCACAAGTTTCCCTTATGTGCGGGTTATTTGTGTAATGGGTTACGTCGCTTGTAAGAGAACAGAACTGGGCAGCAAGATATGTGGTAACCTGGTAACCTCTTTCTTTTTCTACAACCCCCATGAGGATGAGAGTGGATGATGATCCACCAGAATATATATATATTTATATATATATATATATATATATATATATATATATATATATATATATATATATATATATATATATATATATATATATATATATAATCAATAAGATCACAGTAAACAGGTGATTTTAAAATATGCAAAACAACCACTATGAAAGAGTAGTGAAATTCCAAGCGCTTTCGTGACTACTCACATTGTCAAGGAACTATGAAAGTAATACATCAAAGGAACGCAATTAAAAGGGCTTAGACTACACCTCACAGTCAACCCCCACAACAAAGAAACACCTGACGCGCGGCAATACCGGACTCATAAGAAAAGAGGAACACTGCAGTAGGTCCGCTGGTCCAACTAGACAGGTCCTGTCTAGTTGGACCAGCTGTTCACGCGACGTAGAGCATACGTTTGTTCACCTTCTTGTTGGTAAGTTGTCAAGTGTTGGCGTCACGATATACGTGACGTCATTACTGACTACTAATGTAGTTATTTGATAAATAAAATATTATGTGTCAAGACAAAAGTAATAGATACTTCCACACACACACACACACACACACACACACACATATATATATATACACACACATTGCTAACGATGTGAAATTAATGAGAAGAATACAAAGAAAAGACTTGGGACGGAGCTCGGCAGCTGCAGAATTGGTCTGACAAGTAACTACATGATTTTTTTTTTACAAGAATTTAGTCCTAGCAGATATAAAGTTATGAAATTTGGGGAAGTACAAAGAAGACTAGAAATGGAATACAGGTTCGTGGGGTAACTGTTGCAATCCTCTCTTAAGTAGATCCTCGGGGTCTGCATAGCACCAAGCATATTACCTGTGAAGCACGTAATATGCAGAAAGCAGAAAACGTATGACTGATAAATCTAAGATAAGCTTTCAGGAACGTCAGCAAGACGTTATTCATGACACTATATAAGGCATATGTCAATACCCAGTTTGAGTATGCAGCACCAGTATGGAACCCACACCTGAGCAAGCATGTTAAGAAACTGGAAAGCGTGCAAAGGTATGCAGTGAAACTAGTCCTGTAACTGAAGGGTGTGACTTCTAAGGAGAGACAAGTGGGGCTAAACCTGGCTTATCTATTTGTACTTAACCTGTACTTATCTATTTGTGGTTGCAGGGGGTCGATTCACAGCTCCTGGTCCCGCCTCTTCATTGGTCGCCACTAGGTCCACTCTCTCTCCCTGCTCTGTCTCTATGAGCATTGTCGTATCTCTTCTTAAAACCATGTATGGATCCTGTCTCCGCTACATCACTCTCCAGATTATTCCGCTTCCTGACGAGTCTATGACTGAGTCGTCAACTTTCAGTTGTGATCCCTCGTTGCTGTCTCGCATCTCTAAAACATTTTGTCCCTATCCACCTTGTCAATTCCTCTCAGTATTTCATATGTCGTTATCATGTGTCCTCTATCTCTCCTGTCTTCCTGTGTCGTCAGGTCGATTTTCCTTAACCTTTCCTCGTAGGACATATCCTTTAGGTCTGCGACTAGTCTTGCTGTAAACCTTTTCACTTTCTCTAATTTCTTGACGTGGTTGACCAGGTGTGGGCTCCATACTGGTGCTGCATACTCCAATATGGGCCTGACATACACGGTGTACAGAGTCTTGAACGATTCCTTGCTAAGGTATCGAAACGCTATTCTTAGGTTTGCCAGGAGCCCATATGCTGCAGCAATGTTTTGGTTGATGTGCGCCTCAGGAGGTGTGCCCGGTATTATATTCACTCCAGGATCCTTTTTCTTGAGTGAGGTTTGCAGTCTTTGGCTCCCTTGCCTGTACTCTGTCTGCGATCTTCTTTGATCTCCCCAAATCTTCATAACTTTGCAGTTGGTGAGGTTAAACTCCTGGAGCCAGTTGTTGGACCAGGCTTGCAGCCTGTCCAGATCCTTTGTAGTTCTACCTGATCCTCATCCACTTGAATTCGCATTACCTTCACGCCGTCTACAAACGGGGACATCTCTGAATCTATCCCTTGCGCCATGTCATTCACATATACCAGAAACAGCGAGGGTCCTAGGAATGACCCCTGTGAAGCCCCGCTCGTCACCCCACTCTGACACCTCGTCACGTACCATC